GCTAAACCATGGGGGCAAGGGAGGGAGGGAGGGCTGCGCATCCCGCGCAAGCCGGGGGACATGCACGTATGCCCGTCTCAGCCTGCGCTGGGTGTCCGCAAGCACATGCATACGCCTGCAGGTTTAGCGGGAAAGGTCGGAAGTCAGACCGACTCTTTTTTATATTCGCGCTCTGTATCGCAGCTTCTTGAGTCTTTGTGGAATGGTGTCTGGATCACGGACTCGGGCGTGCTGAGCCTTCAGGCTGCGCTAGGCTGCTTTGTTTTGCAGGACAGAAAGTTGAAGCAGAGGGGCCTAAAATGCCTCCTTTGCTCAAATACTTAAAGTGGTTCCCAGTCACCTTTCTCTGTCAATAAACCAAAAGGAGGTGAAGACAACCGCAAAACGTAAATGTTTCCCGTGATAGAAGAGTAAATCCTAAATAGTAGTTGTAGGGACTGGACATCTGAACAAACCTGCCGTTGTCAACTACATGTGAGTTTTTGTGTGCATTGATTTAGCAGTCGTAAAAGGTGATTAAAGAGTTTCCTATCATCCTCCCCATAGTCAAAACAATCTGCTGGAAAGGCTCTTAATTGCTTTTATAGCACATGGATGTTTTCAGAAGTAAAAGAGCAGTAGCCAAACAGACAGTTCTTCTCAGAAGGAAGATTTCCTACAGCGTGTAAACATGAAATAAATCTTTGCTTTAAAAGAAAAAAAAGTTAGCCCCAGATCAAACATTTACTGGGCTTTTTAGAAATGTTCTTCCTTTATTCTACCACTATTCTCGGCAGGTTTGTCTGATGTGGTTGCTTTGTGGGTTGAACCACCTGCTTATTATAGTTTTGAAAAAGAGTGGCTTTGAAAATGATACCAGAAAGACAAAATACCTCCACCTCTTTTTATGGGACTTCGTGCTTTAGGAACTAGAAAACTAGGATGATTTACATGCAACAGAGTTTTTAATGCTTACTTTTTATAAAGGATTTATTTTCTTTGCTGCTTGGTGACATAAATAAGTAACCTGCCAAAGCTCAATTAAAATTCAAAACATTTTAAATTATTGTATAGTCCAGACAGTCCATCTGTCTGAGAGTGAAAAATGGTCCTGAATGAAAAAGACTAATCATAAATATAGCAAATAGACAAAAAGTCAAAATCAAACACACCACTTACCTTAGGTTCAGATTTTTTTTAATGTTTTGTGGTTTTGCTGCTGCACAGCCAAATCTTAGGTTTGATTCTAGAACAAATTCTTTTTCAGCCTTTGTTTACATTGTTAACAACTTCCAAAAAGCCAGTTTACACGTTCCCTTTCTTTCATGTTTTGCATGTACTGTAATCTCTGCATATCAATTGGTTAAATACGTTGGCATACCCTTGCCAAATTCAGGCTTCAAATAGTGCCTCATCTCCAGAATACTTTATATTATTAATATAGATTACATTTTTGGGCAAATGTAATATAAATAGTGCTATAATACAAACATTAGCAAATAAGCAGCATATTTCATGCACGTGAAAAGCCTGCACTGAAGATAGCAAGTTATGTCAAGAGGTGTGGGCCCATATGCTAGATAAGTTGTCCGGCAATTTTTTTTTTTTTCCTGTGAGTAGATTCTGTTATATAAAATTCCCATCTGTACTTTGATTTCCATTCAAATGATGTAATAATGGATGTGTTTTTTTTAAGAGAATGCTATAGAGAAAGTAAAGTATATTTTTAGGTAATTCAAACCTATCTTCTGGTGTTTGAGTAAGCAAATAGTGTATAATCTTTACAGATTGCAACTGCATAGTACTGAAGGCTTCAGCCTCAGCGCTGAATAAAATTCTTTCACATTCAACATTTAAAAAAAAAAGTTTTTTTAAATGGTGTAGGATTCTTGTTCCCAGATGAGGCTTCTCAGACAGCTTTCCTGTGAATATTGTATACATTTCCATACAGTATTTGAAATTTCAGAGAAACTAGGCCACATTGATTATAATATGTACATTTTCTACGTGTTTCCAACTGCATTTTGGATGCTATGTACTGTATGTTCACAAGTTGAATTAAAGCAATCTCTTTTTTTTTCAGGTATCCTTGAATTCATCAGTGTGGCAGTGGGACTGGTCAGTATTAGAGGCGTGGACAGTGGCCTTTACCTTGGCATGAATGAGAAGGGAGAACTCTATGGCTCGGTAAGTACCACTTTCATGTCTGCTCATACATATTGATGTTTTGATTCACTCCTTAGCATATGCAAACCCCTCAAGTAGCTATCTGAGGTCATCTTAGCTTTCAAAACACTAACATCTTTTCCTGTTGAAATGTATAATCTATTTTTAAAGTATACAGTATATCCTTGGATACTAAAGATTCAATGGGAAAAGTTCCTCTGTCCTAGATGAAAAGAACTGAGAAGAAATATTGCTCTTAAATTTTGACAAAAACAGCTAAATTAAACCAGCTATTCAAACAGCATTTAAGTTGCCTGCTATCTAATTTTCTTTTTATCAATACTGCAAATGCATCACAGTGCATAGTCTATCATCAAAAACATTGAATACAGCTAGAAAAAAGTTAAAAGAACAGTTATGGAACAAACAAACAACAACTAATATAGTACCCTGGCTTATTTCTATGTATAGCCTAATGCTCCTTGACAAATCAACAGGTGGTACTTCCAGGTACCAGTTTTTTAACATAAAAGCATTCTTTCAAATGCTGGGAAAAAGAGGATAATACCATATGTCACAGTTAGGTACCACTGTTATTTGAAAAATCTGAATGGTGCAGGAGTACTGGCAATATCTGTAGATCCCAACTGGAATATTTGCATTTAAGAATGAAAATAAGCATGTACTCATTACAGTTGATTTGGGTCTGCTGAATAACTTCAACATATGACCGTAAAAATACAATCTTTGATTTTTTCCAATTCTACCAGGGTAATAACAGTCTTAGACTTTTCTCCTCTCATGTCTTAAAACATCTTGAGAAAAAATAGCCTTGTTCTCCAGTTCCTTTGATTGTGTATTTGTATATCTACATGTTCAGTTTTCAAAAGAATAAGGATTAAAGTAGGCTTCCACACTCAGTGTCAGGTCTGCATACTCTTCTTGGGTTTGGTGTCAGTTAAATGTCAGGCTTAGGCCGCACAAGACCTAAACAATTTTGTTTATCGTATTTTTTTCATGCGTGTTGAAATCTCTAGTGACAGCTTGACTTATTTTTCTTCACTGTTTCTTTCTGTAGGAGAAACTAACTTCTGAATGCATCTTCAGGGAACAGTTTGAGGAAAACTGGTACAACACTTACTCATCCAATGTCTACAAACACGGAGATTCGGGGCGGCGATACTTCGTAGCACTTAACAAAGATGGTACTCCCAGAGATGGGGCAAGGTCCAAAAGACACCAGAAATTCACACATTTCTTGCCCCGGCCTGTGGATCCTGAAAGAGTTCCAGAACTGTACAAAGATGTGTTAGGATACAGCTGAGGAAGGAGGCAACTTTGGGAAAAACCCATACTGGAGCTGTTGCCCCTGCTTTCATGGCAATACCAGCATGAGGAACCTGCAGAGGTCTAGGATGCTGGATTGGAAGAAGATACTTTGTGACAGGCAAACATCTGTTTTCTAACCTTTGGATTTAGGAGACAAAGCCTTAAAGCTGAGAGTGGACCAGCCTCCTTCAAACTTGCTCGACTGTTTGGTAGCTGGTAACCAGAGGGAAGTTGGAGTGTGACTTTTTTAAAAATGACAAACTCTTGGCAATTTTGTCTGGATTACCTGTGATCTATAAATTAGCAAAGAACTACCTACATCATGTGGATGAGATGAGAGCTAGAAGAAATAAAAAAAGAAATGGACTGTAAAATAGTGATAAATCCTGAGAACTGTATATGAAGTTTTAGTGGCTCCACTTTAGTGATGGACCTTAGATGTTGATGCATCATAGTCAGAGCTGGAACTTTTCTTTCAGGATGGACCTATTTATACACCTCCAGATAGCATATATTTATTTTATATATTTATTTATTAAAGAGTTTATTTTTTACTGGGATATGAAGAGAATACAAGCCCCTAACCCCAATGAGAAATCATTTACAGTGCCAATATTTACTCTGAGTAGTGTCATGATACAGAAATGACATTACATTGCAATGCATCCCAAACCTGAACATTTATATTTCATTGTTTATCAGTTACAGATAAGGTTATATTTTATGCACATACCATTGTCTTGTGACTATCCTTATTTTGGAAAGAATGTTTAAATTTTTTTTTGACCTATGAGAGTGCCTTACAGATCTGTATTGAATTCAAATGCATATTTAAAAGGGGAATTAAAAATTATTTCACTTTATTTGGTTTACTGTCATTTTTAAATTGAGAGTCTCTTAGCACACTACGTATAACTTCTCAAACCTGCAACGATTGTGAAGAGTATATTGCAGTTACCTTGAAAGAAAAAGTAGTATTTGCTCTCGAAATCTTGATTCAAATCACAACATGCTTGATGATTTTTTGCCAAATGTTTCCTACTATCTTTACTAACACACAAATAAATATTCTCTGTATTACTTAAAATTTTCATGTAGGATTCTCATCACTATATAAGACATTTTAATTATATTCCCTATGAATATGCTTAGGGGGAAACAGTATCAGAGTAAGAAGTTTCTGGTATCACTGAATGAAAAGCTTCTGCGAGTGAAGGTTGTTTCTCCACAGGGTACAGCGGAGCCTAAGGGAGACTACTTTCTGATCTTAATTCCTCCTTTAGGGATTAATCTCAGCATAAGTTTTTGTGTGAAGACAGTCCGGACAAAGATGAGCTGTGCCCCTCTGCTAGTTACAGCTGTACAACAGCTAGATTGCACTAATTTACTTTACAGTAATTTAATGCAGGTCTGTCAGTTATGAAGCACAAATTCATCTGCATCTTGACATATTGGGGAAGTCTCTGCTTTCTGTAAGAATACTAAAGGTCAATGACAGACCCTGTATGATTTAGAGCTAAACCTGCTGAAGCTTGCTGTCAGACGATTGCCACCTCCACAGGAAAGGTTGGTCCAGGAAAAGGAGTGCAGGAAAGGCAGTCCAGGAGAGGGCGGCAATATTGACACTATACCAGAGGTGGTCTCATGTTTCTGGTGCCAATGCTCCCAGTGGGCTCCAGCGCAAGATCACTAGTTTGAGTTCAGTTTTGTGGAAGCATGTACGTGTTCAAGTACTGCATGTGCATCATTTATATCAAATCAAGGTATTAATAAAAAGCATTTTCCAGTATAGAACACATTTGCTAGAACCATCACTGTACCAGAACTTCTTCCGTGGACTGTGGACAAAATCATTTTACTTTCCACCAAATAGAAATTGAATGCAGATACAAAAAAAAGATATTTTAGCACTTTGTGGCTAACAATATGTAATTTACTAAGGTTAAAGGCTTCATTAAAATTTTCTGAAAAGCAAGCAGTGAAAGATCTATAGTGCACTGAATGCAGTTCAGTAAAATAATGTTGTAATGCACTTCAACTTGTCATAAAAGAATGGTTTTATGGGTGACACTGAGTCCCATTAGTAACAGATCAATAACCAAAGACAAAAGTATATGCTTTAAATAGAAAAATTTATTCCATATAAGTTGTGTAAGAAAAACAGTGGCTGCTGCTCAGGACATACTTCCCATTTCTGGGGAACACACTCAGTGTTTAAATCATACCAATGAAAGAGTTATCTCTCTTTGGAGTAACAGTTTACTGTTAATCCAACTACCTCAAAAGTACTTTGAAGACAGCAAGGGCTGTAATCATCCTTGTTATTACTATTGTGCATCTGTTTTCACGCACATGATACGGTCCAGAACAGTAACTGACAATACCTTTAAGTGGTGAATAATCAGCTGAAACTTCTGTATCCAAACACTTAGCCAACATATAGGTGAAGAAGAGTGATATATGCCTGCCATTTTCTTGTCCCATTCCCATTTTAGATATATGCCAATAATCCTTGAACAAAATGTAATGGAGCAGGCACGGTGGTGATGAATGACTGTATAAAACCCCAGAGCATTGAAAACCTGTCACAGCCTCCTTTTTTAGTTCTGGTGTATTGCCGTTGAAGAAGGATACTGCCTTTTCCCATTTAATTTTGCTTGCAGCATTTATTTGCTCTCTGTTACATTCTGTCCATCATGATGTCCAGATGCAGTTAATATTTTTCTGGTTTGAAAATGGTGGATGCAAAAGCAACACCTCAAAATAGCTATTTTCATATGTCATTAGACTAATAGCTTTAGTGGTAAGTGGCTGGCTTTTTTGTGTGATTTTCACTCCTACTTCAGAAAGTCCAACTGGTTAGAGAGGGAGAGGTTGGTTCTGTTTAAACAGCAGATTTAATGATCTAATTTATTACTCATTACATTTTACATAACCTTATCAATCTGAAAGCTGTGGGGTGCTCTAATATCATGAAGAGAGTAATCTGAAGGAGGTGGCATTGTGCAAGGCTCGGAGGAAATCTCTGAAGGCAGAGAAAATGTCACATCTTGAAATAAATCCCTGCATGATTGGCTGCCTTATTTCTGCCTTTCCTTTTTTTCCAGGGAAGGAGAACCATTCAAGGTAGTTATGCAGTTTGTATAGCAGGTGCAGCTCCACTTTCTGTTCCCCAGTGATTCTCTTGGTAGCTGTAAAACTCGGCCCTTTGATCTCAGAGCTGGCTGGAAACTGAGTGCTCCATTCCAGTTCTGTATTTCTTCACATATTTTGTTTTCTGCTGCTCTCTCTTCCAAGTTGTGTCAAAAATACTATACTAGCCATACAGGAGATTTTCTGAAATCCAGGAGTAACCTTCTGAGCATATTTGAAGTGAAATTGTTACTTGTATTAGTCTTTGTGCTCTTGGTCAGAATGAAGAAGGTAGAATTTTTAACAGTCTTCTGTGGAAATCTTCCAGCTGTAATAGCTACAGGACATAGGAGAACCCAAGTGCTTCTAGAAATGGGTATTTTTTATTAGATGAGCTGATATAATCAGAAAAAGTGGACAGGTAGTCTGAAAGGCACCCAGTCCTTTCATTGCTCTGAACGATTTGTGTTTGCAAGGAGCAGTTTGGTCCCATCCATATCTTTAAATTTTCTGTCATAAGCTTATTGATGTTCTCTTTCATGCTCAGGTGTGACAGCCAGCTTCACTGATTCTATCTGAAAGTTCAAATCACTGGTATGGCCGTGCACTTTGGTAGCACTCCAAGGTTGTGCAGAATTTACTTTCTGATGTGTGAGAGTCACTTAACAAGTGCATTTTCAGCATAGCTTTCATTTCCAACTATTTTAATGTCTTGATATACTTTGTTAACTCATTTTTCATAGCCATCCGATCTTCCTTCAGTAACTTTGTAAAATTTTACCTAAATGAGCTGCGGCTGTGATTTTAATTTTTTTTTATTTAGTTTATGTCATCATACTGGTATTACCCTACCATGGCTCTAGTTATACCATTACAAGCCATTAGGTTTGCCTTACTCCTTTTTATGTACAGCAATGAACTAAACAGAAGTAAGGCAGTTTTATACACCATAAATGCATCTGCACTGTTGCCTTAATGTACTGGACCAAGCCTGTGTCATAAATACTGAGAACACTGTGGTAAGATACTGAAGTTTTGCTCATCTTTGTCCATACTCCATGGAGATGCTATCAATAAGGAGGCATTTTGGAAATCTTAACTTGCGGCTTTTGCTTTTCACGTGAGAAAAACTATTGACTGCACTGCTGTTAAATTCCCTGCAATTATTTGGTGGGGTGTTCTAGCAGCGCAACCATTTGAAGACTAATTTATATGAACATAACAACAGCTGCATGAGATCAGGCAGTACTCTGTCTCCACTGCATGGGGAAGAGAATAAGACAGATGTGTAATCTCGGCAGTCATTGCAGAACCCCAACTAGGGTTAGGACCTGAAGTCAATTGTCCTTTGGGACATTACATTTTAGGAGGCAGAAAAGTGAAGAAAACATTTCACAATGTTAAAGAACATGGTGATGGAATTCTACGCTTCCTGGATGTCTGCATCCACCTGCACTTTATCAGGCATTTCTCTTAAAACAATTTCTTTTGCAGTAGTATATTAAACTGTTGTGAAATAATTGCTGTTAGTGTACTTGGTGTCAGTGTACATCTGGGTGTAGATGTGCTCACCTCGGTACAAGGTAATGAATATCTTGCTAGACAGAGGAAGGGAACATTTTGAAGTTGTTATATACCATGACAATATTAATCAGGAAAGTTTGGTTTATGGCGTTAGTCTTAAGTAAGTTTTTGATACAAAGTTTTGCAGCACTTTTGACAATGCAGTATGGGTTCTTAACAGTCAGACATTCACGGGCAGAAAACCAGAAATGTGTAAAAGCTTCTCAGGTGGAACATACTTATCCGTGACAACTTTATGAATAAGTTGTGCGCAAATAGAAAGAAAAAGGAAAAAAAAAA